TAAATCAATCAAAATGAAATCAATCAAAGAGGAAATATAGTACCTGCACTTGTTTTATAAGAGAGCCTTCTGGATTCTGGAGATCATTCATTAACTCCTCTTTCTTTGTCTTCAGCTCAGTGACGATGGCTTTCTTGTTAGCAAGCTCAATCATAACTGGCATTTTACTTTCCATCTCCCAAAAGAGATTTTTATGAGCCTTTATTTTTTCCCGATATTCAGTATTTCTTGCAAATATCATCTCATACTCTTCCTGTATTGTTTCTGCATCAAACCTCAGCTTCATATTTTCAAAATATAGGGCTCTGACTTGGGCCTCCAGGTTTTCGCAGTGATACTTTGTCACTTCTATGGCATCGTCTTGCAGATGTATTTCCCTTTCTGTTGTTTTTGTTTCTAACAGGATAGAATTCATTTCTTTTTCTAGTTCCTGAAACTTAGCCTGTAAAATATTGCAGCATTCACTTAAGAGTATTTTTATTTGTGAGGAAGACAGGTATCTAGTTAAGCATTGTAATTTGTATTTCTTTAACAGAAACTTATCTTCACTTTCTTAATGGGGTTTGAATTAAAGTTATTATTTCCTAAAATCATCACCTTAGAGACATAATGGACGAATATCTTGGACTTCTCGCCTTAGACTGAGTCTAAAATATGAAATGAAGTATTCAAATTACTTTGATTTCCCCATATTTACAAGATACATAGTACTTGACAGACCAAACCCAATCTTAAAGTTTGTTTAACAGAATCTCTTTTAGCCTGAATCAGACTAAAACCACATGGTACCAAACCCACAGCTCCAGGAAGCAGTACTTCATGCTGTCATAAGACGGGAGGGTTGAATTGCTGCCTCAGAAATGTTTGTCTCTCTGTTGACTACAGAGGTAGCCTAGATGACTAATATGGGTTTAACATCTGATTTGTAGGTGATGCAAGTTTGCTGTGGTGAATCCCACCCTAACATCCAACTATTGTGTATGAAGTGAGAGAATGTGCACTGTGACTTATGCTGCCTATTATATTTTCTCTAATGGAAGCATTATGTGTGCCATGAAGTATCCGATTCAATGCTTTGAACAGAGTAAGGCATTATCAACTGTTAAGAACAAAATGTTTCTGCGTAACTTTTAATTTGGAAATCCTGGGTTACAGTTTTAGCAGAATCAGTATCACTGCCACAATTCACTGGGGAAAAGACCTTCAATTTTGGAAATTACGTTTTACATATCTACTGTGACACATACACACGGGAATAGACTGGAAGATGAGCAAGCAGTTCTGTATTCAGTTCCCAACTGTTTTATTTAGTTGTTCTGCTAACAATAATGTTTGTATGGAATTTCCTAATGTTTGTGTTTTGTTGTTTGTCTGTTTTCTTTAAGAAAAAGAAAGATGTTGGAGAGGAAGATATGAATACATGAATTATCTAGGACTCTAAAGTTCTGTGGGTTTTTGAAAACTGAAACTCTTGTTTTAGTTGCTTTATCACAAGTTAATTGTTACAACATTGTCATATTATGTTACATAATATTATTAGATATATATATTACAGTATATTATTAGAAGAAATCTTCTTGCAAGGTGTGGCCAGTTATTAGACCTTCCTAACCAATAAAAGTCTTCACTGCTCCTTCAGAGAAGTTATCTTTGTGCAAAATTTCAAATATCAGTTATTTCAGTTATCGGTTGTTTCAGTTGTAGAGCTATTTGCAGATGTTATAATAAGATTTTCTTTTGCATTCTCTCATGCTCAAAATCATCTTAACACTATTGTGGTTTTCCTCATACTTAAATATATGTATCTTGACAGACATTTGGTCCCAGAGTTTAAATGACAATTGAAGGCTTAGCAAATTCTGTGAGATTGTAACAGAAGTGATTATTTAGTCTTCAGGAATACTACACAAATCTAATGTTTAACAAAATAATTAAAAAATAAAAATAATTAAAATAAAAATGCACTAAACATGCAGAGAAAAAATACTCTGCACAAAGAAAAAAAAAAGTAGTCTTTACACTAAGAAAAAATGATAGTTTTGGAAAACCTGACAAAAAGGATGCTTTCTTTTTTTTTCTTTTTTTTTTTTTTTCATTAATTTCTTAGCTAATCAGCATGAAAAATACAAAAAGCTCTAACTTTATATTGATTATTTAATGTTTTGGCTGTTTCAGAATTTTTTCTCAAAATAATAATAAATAAAAACTTCTGCTAAAACACTCTAATGAAGACTTAGCTAAGGAGTAACCTTCCAAATAATGATGCATATGCAGTTTCAGCAAGGCTTAAATAACACACAGAGGAATAGAATAGCTGCCTTACGCTTACTTAAATGCAAACAGTCAGAAAAGAATTGTACAATCACCTTATCTTGTTCCCAGGAATACTTCCTCAAATAATTAATAAATTAAATTAATTAAACTCTTCTAAAGAAAGCTTATTACCTGTAATTGGAAAAGAACTGCTTTGTTTTTTTCTATCTCTGATGACTGTAAATGCTGCTGCTCTGCAACTTGTTTTACCACTTCAGTTAGTGACTGATAATTCTGCTTGGCCATTTTATACAAGAGCTGACCTACAAAGACATGAAAGAGAAGCGAATTGTGTTATCAACATTTTATTTAATTGCTAACCATTAACATAAGAGTACAATACTAAGGACTTCCTATGTTAAATTTTGCTCAGCTATATATACATAATCATATACACACAATTCGGTTTGGTTCATTTTTTATTACCAAGAAGAGGATACCAATGGGTAGATGCTCAAAGATAATGACTGAGAAGTAGAGCTATATTTTCCAGAGTTCTATAACATAAAATACTAGAATGTTCTTCTGGCTTCTCCAAAGAACAGACCCTTATTTTTTTTAATCACAGAAACATGGAATCACAGAATGGTTGAGGCTGGAAGGGACCTCCAGAGCTCTCTAGTTCAACTCGAGCAGGGTCACATAGTGCATGCTAATGTAGTCATCTTAAATGCAATTTAGAGCACATCTTCATACTTAGCCTGAATATTTATATTATTGCAGTTACCATACTGCAGCTGTGTATTAAATATACCACACTTCAGCTGTGTATTAACTATTAAACTATCCTTAATTTATGACAGAAAGCAAAGGGAGAAAGCTGTCACACTGGAAGCCACAAACCAGTTTCACTACAAAGAAATCCCCGATGACTAGGTAACATTTAGTACTATCCTGGTATCACTTCAGATAGCATAAATTAATGAAGATAATCTGTATTGTAATAGAAAGTGAAACTAAACTGTGTTGAAACCATGCAAATGTGACTTGGCACAAAAGTGCACCTTCGGTATGTTAGGTGGCACACAGATGAACTGCGAGGTGGTAGGCTTGGCCAGGAAACCACCTTTATCATTTCGTATTTAGGGCTGTCGCTACTGCCGTGCGGCCATCCCTCATTTCTTCCCTCTACCGTGTTCCCCCAGCACCCTCAGCACGGAGAAACCCTTCCTCTTGTAGCACAGAGCCCCAAACACCAAAAATCGCAGAGAGTTAGGTCAGAGGTTGGACTCGATGATCTTGAGGTCTCTTCCAACCTAGAAATTCTGTGATTCTGTGATTCTGTGAGATGAGCAGAGCCAGGCGGCCGCCCCACACGCTCCCGCCCCCTCAGGGCGGCTGTAATGGCCGCCCCCGCGCCTTCCCGCCCAAACCGCCGGGCATGGGGCGGTGGGGAAGAAGGCGGTGTGAGGGGGGGCAGCCATTGCCGGGGAGCAAAGGGCGCTGAGGGGGTCGGGGGAGGGCGGCCGTGCCTGGCAGGAGACGGAGCTGAAGCTGAGGGAACGATGTAGCCCTGTCAGAAACGGAGTAGAGGCTGCGCCGTGGGGCTCAGAGGGGAAGGGTGGGCTGGCTTGCCCCGAGGTTGGGGCAGATTTATGTAGCTCTTTGGCGCTTTTATGTCCCTAGAGTTAGTGAGCGGCATTGTATTAAACTGTGTTTTATGTCATAATTTGTTAGTATTCTGTGTGCACTGCAGAGGACCTAAGCTTTTCTGAGTGCCGTTGAGTTCCAAGAAAAACAAAAATCATAAATGTTGGAAAAGCCCTTCACTATCATCTGGTCCAACCATCCCCCTACCACCACTATCACCCACTAAGCCATGTCCCCAGGCACCACATCCAACCTTTCCCTGAACACCCCCAGGGACAGTGACTCCCCCACCTCCCTGGGCAACCCGTCCCAGTGCCTGACTGCTCTTTCTGAGCAGAAATGTCTCCTCATTGCCAACCTGAACCTCCCCTGGCACAACTTGAGGCCATTCCCTCTAGTCCTAATGCGCAGTTGTGGACCCATCTTGCCTACACAGATATTCCTCACAATTCCAGGCTAAATAATTTTAACATTAAATTACACTATTTTTATAATTTAACAGCTCAGCTATGCATATGGTGCATTTACTTCATCCCTTTTATGAGATGGCAGAAGCTCAGTATAATACACCAGCTGGAGAAGTAATCCCAATTTGTCATTTTCAGTATTGTTTTGTATCCTGACAATTTTCAGACCTTTTCTGTATCCTTCTACAGCACTCTGTACTGAAAATAATCCCTGTAGGTCTTTTATTTATTTATTTATTTATTTTCTCTTTAGTCTGATTAAAGGAAAGCTGCTTTGTTGGTCTCTCTTTGCCGAGCCCCTGCTGTTAATTTTTAATGTCATGCCCTAGTTCAGCCACATTTGACAGTGGGCTGAAAGCCTCAAAGATAACTGCTTTCTGCAAACCTCATGAAAATTAGAAATGTACTTCATGTAAACTTCCTCCACTGGGCAGAGGAGGAAGGACAAGATAGCCACATCAGTTCCCTTTGGGACTGAATGAGAGAATGAGATACCCTTTGCCCAGTGTATGCTGGAAGAAAAAACAAGAAGGACTCCAGAGGTATGTCCTGGGCCTGGCAGAAACGAAGGTGTTTGAAGGGAAAGGATAGGAAGGATAGGAAGGGATAAGAGTCATAGAAGAACAATTTCTAAGAAATCTGACTTTATAAATTCCTCTGTTCATGGAAAAAAATATTTTAATTTTTAGTGTCTGTTTCTTCAGTTGTCATATACTTATCATTGCTATGACAATGATTTTAACACAGTTGAGAAAATGTATTTATTATCATAGGATTCATGGACAAACCCTGATACAAATGCCTTGTTCCCCTACTTGCCTTCTGACTGTTGAATTGCCCTGTCAAAACACTGGCTTTTTTCACCAAGCGCTGCAAAATTTCTCGCTGCTCCAAAGAGAAGTTTCCTTCCCCATTTCAGGCAGTGGCAGTGAAGACTGGCATCTCTTAACCCCTATCGGAGCCCTTCTGAATGTGCTTTTTCGTGCTTGACTGCTAAATCCTTCACTGGAACGTGCCAGCACGCGTGTCTTGCCTTACAGATCCCCCAGAAAAGGAAACTTCTGGTCTGCACAGGTGTTCCCTTAACTTCTCTGTCTTCTTGTTCTGCTTTGGCGTGCCATACGTCTCTGAATCTGCAATTGTGCAAAATGAATGCACTGGCACGCGTGATGACAGCAGTAAGCTACATGGCAGGGTTAATGCTGCTTCCGGGTTTAGTCCTTAATCACGGTGATGCCTTCGGTACAGTTTGTTATTTCCTGGGGACAGTGACAGCAACAAAGCAGGGTCTCATCATGAAGAAGAAATACAGGTTCCCACTCCAATCTTACCTAGAATCGGAATTTCCATCTTGTACAAGTCAGCTGCAAGGCTGACAGTGCGAAGTGAGATACATATATAAAGCTGGCAATGTGTGTTTGTAACAGATGATATCTTGCAAGAAGTTAAAAGGATTGACTGCCTGTTGTAAGTAATTTCTGTGTTTGAAACTCTTGACTTATAAAAGCTGTGTGTACTTCAATTTTTTAATTTTAAGTGCTGATTTCTGTTTCTTCCACCTTTCCTAAGTACCCTTAAATTAAGAGAGGAAGAATGTTTTATTTTAATCCAAGTTAAGAGGTTTTTAAAGTTTTTGTTTGTTTGTTTGTTTTGCTTTGTTGTCGAAATTTTATTGCAAGTGTGCTCGTATGCCCGTTGATTTGGACTGCTTTAATGTTTTCTCTGGGCATCTCTCTCTGGCATGATGTTAAATATTTCTTTCCTTTTCTATTTCCCAGAACAATGTCAGTTCTCTGAGTTTCTGTACGATAAGAAGATCTGTAGGACTCACAGATACAGGAAATTGCCAGCAATCTCGTCTAGACCAACAGAGAATTTTCAGAACTGAATCTGGGTTTTCTGAAAGTTACTTTTTAGATGTCTTTCTGGGCTGTCTCTTCTCTACCACCTGGTTTGACATCCTTCATAGTTTATTTTCACTTTGCATTTCTTGTTTTCACTCTTGATCCCCTCCTTACCTCTCCTCGCTTCTCATCATCTGTCATTTTCTTTGATTTTATTTTCTTGAAGCCTGTGCTAGAGAATCTTAGTACTCTCCACATTTTTGTGCAGTTTCAGGGAGTGAGTGGGACGGCTGACAGGTGGCCTTGGCTTCAAGTTTGTGCAAGTATTTGCCTTACACTGTGTACTGAAACGCACAACTCCTTTATAAGAGCACTTAATGCTCTCTGATGCAGTTATGTGCAGCGTGAATTTCCATTTAACACGGAACCTAGAGCGTGTTGCTTAAAACCTGAATAACCATGCGTGCATTTCTAATAAGTCAAAGCGTTGCTTTGCTTGGCAAGCCCATATTTTGAGAAGGGTTTTGTTTGGGGGACTTAGAAAGCAGTCATGAATTTCTATTACGAGTCTGAGCAAATTTACTTCTGACACCAGTGACCTCAGTAGAACACTGTGATGCAAAACTGGAAGGATACGAGGGTGACTCAGCCCCATTGTTCCCTGTGTGTACATCTCAATAATTGCTTCTGTGGACTTTTTGCAATGCATAGACAGCTTATTAGCAATGCAGGCAGCTACCTCTCCCTCAGCAAACACTTTCCTTCCACCCTTTCTTTGGTGGTATTCTCACGGGGAAATGTGAGGACAACAATGAACTCCACTTACTTTCCTCTGTTGACGTATCTGAAGTGGAGCAATAATCTGTTTTTCCACTACACCCCTCTGTTGTACTACCTTTGCTGAGGCTTTTAGCTATAGTTAGGTTGGGACTTGTCATATTCTTACTGACCTCCCACAGAGTCAGGGTAAGGAAAGAAATCTCTGGATTTCCCAAGTCATGATCTTTGATATGAGTATGTTTCAACACTGTTTCCTTTGCAAGATGTCTTCTCTAAAATCTGTTATCAGTTGTGTGCAAATAACACCCTGAGCAAAATCGAGAGTCGTAAATTCCTTGGCAGATGCTATTATCTGCTGTCCCATTTTGATGCTTTCCGTTCACCTGTTTTGATAGTTGCTAATTAATCTTTGTAAGTGTTCAAGTCGCAGAAAGGAAAACATCATTTTCAGTCAGGATTGTTTTTCTTCCAGTCTGGAGGAAAGAACAATGAAGAAAATAAAGAATGCATTCTGTAAAACCTCCTCTGAATAAACAGTCCAATAAAACAAGGGTCTATGATCAGATATGAATTTGTGTTCATGCACAATTCATTCCTGTGCAGAGAAATGGCAACATTAAGGAATAATCTAAATAATTATGGAGTCTTCCCACTGGTGATAAAGCTGAGTCACATTCGTCCCAGATAAGGCACAGTGCTGAGTCATGAAATTGCCATCTGCTCAGGTTCCCAAAGAAAAGGGATCCAGTCTTATGAGCCAGACCTCTAGAAGTTTTCACTGGGAACAGTGAAAAATCATCAAACACAGAGAAAATAAAATTAGATGCTTCTAAGGGAATATGTAAAATATGCTCTCATAGCAGAAAAAGGAAGAAAGAGATAGGCAGGTTTCCAAAGCAGACAGGAAGGAAGTCCAGAAGAGAAGGGGGGAAAAAAACAACACAGAAAAATGAAAGTACACCATGAGGCACAAGACAAGCCATGAAGACAGGATGGTTTTGAATAATCTCAATGCATCTTGATTTCAGAGCAAAGACTGCAGCTAGCATAGCGAAGAAACTGAAACCAGAGGCTGTGCATGGTGTTTTATTGTTTTCATTTGGTTGTGTGCATTTCTTACGTTACTAGGTAAAGTTTCAGTATCCTGTGCTGAGTTCCTGTGTGTCCCGAGAAGAAGAACTGTGCCTAACACATACCCCTCGATGTAGAAGCCAGAAATGAGCAAATTGATATTTTTGGTTATGCAAAAGGGAGAAGTGTAAAAAATCTTGCAGAGGTCAGCGGGAAAGTTGTGGCTGTGCTCTGAGCCCCACAGCCATACTGCCAGGAAGGGTATCAGAAATGAGCTCCACCTCAGCAGTACGTGTGTGAAACACTTCAAAAAAAATGTTCTAGAAAATCTTCCAGTCCCCGCAAGCTGATGGCATGAAAACCTCCCTGTCTGATTAGCCTTACAGGAGGTCCGAGCACTCAGAGGTCAAGAAGATCGTTATGTTAATGTGGGGTAATTGAATCAAAAAATCTAGTATTTGGGACGAGCCTTTTCTCATTTCTGATCTGGGATAAAACTGAGGTAAGTGTGTTGGTAGGGAAATTTAAATAAATGTAAAATATTTCGCATTTTCTGTAATTTTCTTTTGCTGCAGTACTTTTTCTGTGTTTTCTTTTAAGGCAGTGGAGGAAATCCTAAGACGATAATTATAGCTATGTCACCTTATCTACACAACATCACTAAATACTTTATTAAATGCTTTAATAACAACTCTATGTGTTGTGATTCTGTGTCATCTTGGCTTTTTTTTTTTTTTTTTGCTATTTGTAGGAATCTTTAAATTGCCTGGACTATGGTGGAAGCAATACTGATTGATCTGTTCAGCCTCCCAGCCGTGTTGCAGAACAACATCCAAGGACTGCTATGTAGGACGCTGGAAACTATTGAGAAGTGCTCTTCCATCCCTGCTCCATTTATTTATGTCATGTGCTACCAGGTGCAGGGCAGTGAAGGGAAGGGTGAGCAAGATTCCTTGCTTCCAGCTCTGAGAGACTTCCAGAGTCTGAAGAAAAGACTTGAGGTGGTACGTGCTCTGACTACAGCCGCTGCGTTGTACACCATCAAACAAAGACTTGATGAAAAGGACATAAGCAGCATTAAAATTATTCTCCCTACCTTAAGGAAAGCATTAATGAAAGTATACATAGACCATCTCTTTACTCCAGTTTACCAGTTTGAATTTGAGGATTTACAGGTGGCATCAGATTGTAATAACCTACAGATAACTGAACCTCAGAGTGAAGAGCAAACGCTTTCCACACAGGACGTGGCGCTCATCCAAAGTGAGATTCAGACATACCTGGAAAGCCTGCCGAGTCTGAAGGGGGAGCTCACCATCCTCAAATCTTCCCTGATCCCAGGTAAAGTGGACAGCAGCTAATAGATTCTATGTAGACTGTTCGCAAGCATGTTTCTTCAAGGGAATTTCAAAATGGGTAAGATCTGGAAATGTCTTTAGGCAGCAAATATCTCTATATGGTCCTGTAATAATGTCTGTAAGAGGGAAGGCGTCAAAGGAGATAGAGCAAAAGTCTGTTCCAGACCTGGGGCATGATCAGTGGACAGAGAAGCCTAGGTTTAGCATTATTGCAGGCAGTAAAATCAGTTCCACTCTGTCTGGGGATTACACACTTTGGGAGTTACCATCATATTCTGGAAAGACAGGATGAGAGCTTGGCCCGGTCTTCAGCCTTATGTGCTCCTGGTTAATCAGACTCATGTCTCAGAGTCCGTGCCGTGGCATGACCCAGTTTACTGCAGTATGTCTCTCAATTAGTGTTAATTATGGGGTCTTCTGATTCAGAGGGAAGCTGAGGGGTTTCCTACTGCAAAAATTTGGAACTGTTTTTCCCTAAAAACAGGTCTGAAATGACCAGAACCTGAAAGGCACTCTAGTTACGTAAAGCCGTCTACCTTCATTGTCCTTCAAGTTTTTATCTGTGACTTTTGATCACACTCCATAAAAGACATTCTGAATCTCAACTCTGATTATGTCACGGAGCATGTCAGCTATTAAGATAGCAAAAAGCAGTTCTAAGAGTCTCTTTGTTCAGCTTTGCCATGCAGGACCCTCCCCCTACCAAAAAAAAAACAACAAACCAACCCACAGAGATTCTGTTTGGTGCACGAGACCACAATAAAGTCTCTACACTGTAAACACAGAAGATTTTTCAAAAACACTAGTTCTTGATCCTCTCAGTGTACTTCAAAAAGATGTTTGAGATTGTGTGAAGTCTTGAGAACTAATATTTAATTTGCCACAAAAGCTTGGGAGATGCCACCTTGGAATGTTGCTTTAGAAATAGATTCTCCTTGTCCTCTGTGAGTTGCCTCTTCTCCAGGATTTGCACTACAACTCTATGAAAAGCCAGGCAATAACTGCCAGAACTCCATCTCACTCATACCCCTCTATCTAGACTGCAGAGGATTGTGATTATGAGCAAGAAGGAAACTTAAAATCCTTCAGTTTAAATGTCAGAGTTAAATAGGAGGTAAAGCAGCATTCAACTGGTTTGACCAATTCCAATTATCTTCAATATAAAGCCACATAATATTTGGACTGGTCTTTTGTTAAAAGCAATTGTTTGTTGTCTTTTTGCCTTGTCAGATGATATCTTCCTCCATGGATTCACCACAAGGACAGGTGGGATCTCCTACATACCAGCTCTAAGCTCCTGCAATCTCTTCAGCAGTTCTAAGAGGAGGGACCCACAAGTTGTTGTTAAAGAAAATCTCCGCAGGCTGGCTAATGCTGCAGGATTTAACCCAGAGACTTTTCACAGAGTCAAGGTACCTTATCAAACACTAGATTTACATAAACTGATCAAATCTTCCTTCATGCATCACTGGCTAAAACTGTAGGCATTATTCTTATCTTTCTCATCAAGAACTTGTGAAAGGCAGGCCAATTAGAACATTTACTCTGGCAGTTTATCTGTGGGAACAGCCATCCCAGCTATCAGCCATTTGGTGCAATATGGAGAAGCAGCACTGTTTCTTCCAAGTATATTCTAACATTTGACTTACCACAGGGTGGAACAGTCAGATAAATGATCAGCGCAGTTTCTCTTAAAAGGAAACAAACAACAACACTTCTTTGGTGTCTTTCTACAGATATATCTGCATGTCATTTAAAAAAGGGAATGCCTGATTTCCATGCAGAGCAGTTGGTGCAGAATAGAGTGTTTTATGGAAAAAAAATTACATTAGTCAGAATGTTTTTTACTGTCTCATCACTGTGCACATTCTGTTTTTGTTTTGACAGACTGATCACGCTAATGCTGTGTGTATTATGGGGAAGACAGAGCCTGACAGCTATGATGGAATAGTTACGGATCAGAAAGGTGTTACAATAGCAGCTCCAGGAGCCGATTGCATACCTGTGCTGTTTGCTGATCCTGTCAGAAAAGCCTGCGGTGCTGCTCATTCTGGTAGGAATTTTAAATCACAGAAATAAAAATAACTAGAAGACCCCTGTTAAGGGACAAAGAATTAAAAATTAGCAACTGAAGGTGCAACTAGCCTTGGGAATAATTTGTTTCCCAAGCTATGAAATTATTTGATTTTATAGCTATAATAATAATTATTTATGTCTTTATACATTTATTTTTCTGAGCTGGTAGCCAAAACCAAATAAATCCTTTCTTTGCCCCATCAAACTTCATATGTAAAGAATGTCCTCAAAACCAGAGCCCTCCCCCCAAGTCATTTTGAATCAGGAGAAATATTTGGTTGACCCAAACAATGAAAAAACAACTGAATTAGGGATGATTAGGACAACCTGGGGAAATACCTGACTTCAGATTATGCCCAAGCTGTTAGGCTAGAATGTGTACATTATAGTGAAATTTAAGTTTTGGGGCTGTTTTATTAAAAGAAAAAAGATGTATTTATGAGGTCAGAGGGAATGTATGGCTTTGATGCTAGTACGCACCTTCATATACACACTTTTATATTTGTGAATTTTCATAAGGGGATAAAAACTTTTATTTTTTCTTCAGTAAAGTTGTTTTCTCTCTAGTTTTCTCTAACCTAGTAAACTTAGGTTAGAGAAATTAAACGGAACAAGAATTCTACCATGGCTGTCCGGGAGGGAGGGGAATGTTGTGGTTTTTAATGGGGAGAAGGGATGGAAATAATTCTATCCACTCTTGAAAGTTTTAAGGGTTTGAAGTTTTACACTGTTGTGCATTAAACCTCATAGCTGTCAAATATTTCATTCTGTAGTTGCTGCCTCTTCATTTATCTCGTCCTGCCTTCCCTGACTCACCACGCTGTTCTTCCAGCCCACACTGCTGCCTTCTCTAAGCATACCTCCCATCTCCAGTCTGAACTCCCACATTCCATCTCCCAAGTTATGGCCCTCATTCCCACATCACATTCCTTCCAAGGTTCTCAGTTATCTTATAGTTTTTCTTGCCTAAATCCTTTTCTTCCTGGCCAGCCCTGCTTAAATCATGTTTAACTTGAACACGTGTTGCTCTGCATACAAATCCAGACAATTAGGTATAAGGTCAAGTCAGTCTTTGGATGTTGAAAAACAGAATAAAAGTTATTAGGATATCCTATCCATCAGAATGAGACATTCCCTGTGCAATGCAAAGACCTCCTAGGACTCAAAATGAGACGTAAGAACTCAAAGCTCAACTTTCTTCTACTTGTTCTGAACAGTGACAAAGTGTGAAGTCTAAAGCTAGAGACTTAAGCCTCCTTTTTTTTGTATAATAACAGTAAAAATATTTTTACCATGTTATAAAAATGTGTTTTTCACTGTAACATATTTCTATTATGATGTATTCTCACTGAAGTGTTCCAGGATCAGATGAGCTGTAATATATGTTCTAGCTGCCAAAAATGAGACACATGAAAGAAGGAATTCAGGAATCCTGATCCAAACTCTCCTCTCTACAACTACAAAATGATGACAGCATAATCATATCACATTATCCTATCATATCACCATATAAAATCATGACGGTTGTTGATGTGTTATTTTTTAATATAGAGAATTGCTGTATCTATTCATTTATACTCTGAATAATAACATGCTTTTAGTTATTATAAAATTCAAGAGAAAACTTACACATTTTTTTCAACCTCTTACTTCTCACAGGATGGAAAGGCACGTTGTTAGGAGTTTCAATGGCCACGGTAAATGCGATGGTATCAGAATATGGCTGTAACGTGAAAGACATCCTCGTGGTCCTGGGCCCTTCTGTAGGGCCTTGCTGCTATAAACTACCTCACGAATCAGCTAAAGAGTTTCACAGAATTGATCCAAAGTGTGTGAGACACTTTGACTCTGCAACTCCCTATATTGATATTAGAAGAGCCACACGGTAAGTCTACTGAGCACGTTTCCATGACATACACAGCAAAAGAACTTGTAGTGTTAATTCCACATTAATTATCAAAATAGAGTATTACCCAGCAGTACTATGGTGAGGGTCCTCACCATCTTAAAGTGCTCTCTAAGTAATGTGCAGAGCTGGGTTTCAGATATTATTTTTATTGTTATACTGGTTTCTGAAATATAAAAAAATGCTCAAATTATGTATTTTAATGGTTGCAGAAAAACAATTTTTAAATCTAATATTGGGGGAAAAAAAAGTCCCAACTACAATATTGGCACTTGACCAACCTTCAATTGGTACTTGAGGTGCTGTCTGAATGATAGGAATGTAAAGATGTACAACAATTCCTGTTTTCTGTTTGTCTTTCTTAAAGGATTCTTCTTGAGAGTGGTGGGATTCTTCCTGAGAACATCCAAGATGATTCTGTCACAGACCAGAACCAAAATATCACATTCTGTACTGCATGCCACCCTGATAAATTTTATTCTCACTTTCGTGATGGCACTAACTTCGGCACACAGATTGGCTTCATATCAATCAAAGAGTGAGATAATATCTCTTACGCTGGAGTAGTATTTAGACAACAAGTCTGGTGTGTTGCCTGTTATCCTGCTCTCCTGGTAGATTTTTTTCCTTGTTTCTTTCATGGACTTGTGATGGAAAGAGTAAACAGGCCTTAAGATTCTTCTGCTTCTTCCATTCCCTGTCATTCTGAAGCAAGAAGAGATGTCTAAGATATGGATCCAATAATTCTTGTGTGAGCCACGTTCCAAAGGAAAAAAGGACAGCTCCCAACAGTAACAGTAAAACACACACACACACTAAAAGCAAGCAAACAAACAAACAAACAAACAACAACAACAAAACCAAAGCCTTCATTATCTTCTGGATGAGTCTTCTGAATGAAGTTAAGGCTGACCCTACTGATAAAGGAAAGGAAACCTGTTTTTTTAAGAGGTTGGGTACGCCCATCAGTGTATGTTTCAGCTGAAGGTTAGCCTTAAAAAAAATGATGTGCCTCAGATTGTTTTTGTTTAGATTAGCTTGAAAAAGAACTTCAAAGCACTTACAAAAATAACTTGAAAGTGAGAAGCAAGCAAGGTCCTTTGGGGCAGACATTGTAAACATTTGAATGTTAACTTAAGCATTTTTTGATTGTAAAAAAAATAAAACTAAGACTGAATATAATTTGGTTTGTAGGGTCATGTTTCCCTAGGATTTTTTCTTTGTCATTTGTGCTGTACTAATGTCCATTGAGACAGTTTCCACAGTGCTCAGTTATTTAATAAGTACCTGAAAAGGAGAGTGAATTTATCCTCAGTTAATGTTACTGACCAATTGCTGACATGTTTGTATCGCTAGTAAATTCAAAGTGTGCACTGCTTTCTTATTGCCACAGATATTTGCCTCTAGATGTTGTGCTAGATGTTGCAAGGCCAGGCTGGATGGGTCTCTGACTGCCCTCATGCAGCAGAAGGTGTCCCTGCCCATGGCAGGGGAGTTGGGACTAGATGGTCTTGAACCATGGTCTTTAACCCTTCCAACCCAAATAATTCTGTGATTCTCTGGTTCTGTCATTCTGTATGATAGTTGCTGACACTCAGTCAGACCTTCCTGATAGTTAAGTCCTTTGTTTCCAAGTCTAATAGCGTGCTGGCTGTAGCTTGCACAGTTCCCAAGCACGAGTCCTGGAAGAACTGACTGCAGACGTTATTTTCTATTTTGATTTAAACGGGTTTTACCGATTCTAGGCTGTTTTTGTCCACTAGAGGTCAGTGCTGGCTCACGGTGCTCACCCACCTCTGGCTGCGCTGTGTGTCTGGGTTTTCAAACAACGCTGCAAAGCACTGCACAGCACAGCCCTTCTGCCAAGTTAGTCTGCTACCTGTGCTTGAAAAGTAATCGATGTTTCATTCTGTTGGGTTGTGATTCAGAGGCGACCAAACTAAAACTTTCCAAGTCCTCCAGGAGAACAGACTTTTTAAAACCTTCCTTTTACCTGTGAATGGTATTTGTCAGAGGAGACCCTGGTTCGACTGTTACCCCAGACTGTAACCACCTACCAAAACTATTTCTTCCAACTTTCCTACTTCTTCTTTAGAAATGTCATTCCTCTTCTGCTGTAGCCCCACAGTCCTTCAGAAAAACAATTCTTACACTTTCAGTTACCTTTTTAAAACCTCACCATTGCTTTCATCATTCTTGGGGTCAGCACTGCGGTGATGTGGTGATTAAACCCATGGCCGGGCTCAGACTGAAGGTTCAAGGTCCAACAGGGGAAACGCACTGCAACTTTCTGCTGCCAGGCATGTTCCTTCACGGTAGCTTAGGGTGTGTATGTGTAATGTGTCTATATGCATGTGGATTAACAACTCGTTCCAAATATAGGATAATGTAATTATATGGGCACTGAAAGGCTTGCCTTGCTGGCTCAGAGAATAACAACCGACTTTCCCCTCTCAGTTCTGTCCCTTTGCCTGGTTTCTTCATGTGATCCACCTTATTGTCACAGACTGACGTAGCTGTGGAGTGACTAAGGCATCTTCCCTTCTGCTGCTGCTGGCATGGGGGCAGTAGCACCACGCAGCCTTCAGTCCCTGCACCAAAAGCTCTGACACAGCTTGCGAGTGCCCTTCGCTTAACCCTCTTCCCTGGTGGATTAAGAGCGTGCCATCAAAAGCAGCTGAGTCGCTCGGCTTTGCGAGGTACTGCTTGACAGCTGAGGCATCACAGGTGCCCACGTGCCTGCTGACAGCCCAGCTCACCTCCGAGGTGGTTTTAAAATAATGCATTTTGCGTTGCAGCGAGTGAAAAGACCTTGCAGCCATGCTGTTTACCACAGTCCAAATGCTCAAATGGCATAATAGTAAGTCACGGTAACCTGATACTGATAGTGAGACCTGGCTTGTTCCTACCTGCTCAGGAACGACAGCAGACTTTTTCTGTTTAGAAAAATACTATTTACAGGTCATGGTAGGACTAGGCAAGCTGGAGAGCGTGTGAGAATGAGCAGAAACACCACAGGCACTACCTTTTGGAAGACAAATTGCTACCTCAATCATTGTTCATTAGTTCTTTTACACTGAATTACCTAGACTGTAAACCTGTCAAGACAAGAAGCAGGCTTTTGTATATGGGCTACTGAGGTGGAGAACTCCACGACCAATAAGAAAATAATAATATTGAGTTCCCATCTGGTTAGGCTCTATATCATACAGAGAGTTTCACAAGTCATTGCCAGAAAAACATTTTAGTTCTGGTATAAAAAAAAATAAAGCTTAGAGGAAGGTCATGATAAAAAGGAGAAAAGGCTGTTTTGCATCTGTTTTGTGGAGATTTTATTTACTCGTTTGTTATTACTGCTGCTCACTAAAGGACCCTGAGCAGATCAGCCCTGATTCACCACCTCTGGGGAAGCTCTTAAAATGCTTCATAAATTGTTCAGCTCTGCCTACCTAATGACCAGATCCCATTCATTAACCTCACCCGAGAATTTATGAGCTGCCTCTGTCCCATTATTAAGTTATTTAATAACATTATTAATTATGATTGTGGTTTGCCCTGAGGAGAGCACAAGTACGTGATCACACTGAATATTGGTTTTGATAGATATTATTGTGCAATTAACATTTGTTGCCATTGTCGATTCGGAATATGGGTCTCTTCAGTTGCATTTATATATCAAAATGAGGTGTATAAACTATGTTTGAGACAGGCTTTTAACTCTGTTCCATTACAACAGTGCAGCAACACCGCAGCTCTGGTTCCAGTGCCTGGGGAAGCAGCGTGCAACTTCAGAGGCTCAGATCTGTGCCTGAGATAATTAGCAAAATGCTTCCCCAAATGGCAGAATTTACTGCCACAGGTGTGGCAAAGGCAAAAAATATCAAGGGAGTTAGATTAAAAATGGCTGTAATAAATGTATAGGGGTTAGGTCCATCGGTGACAGCTTGTCTCTTCCTACTGATGCTCCATGGAGATGGGCTAAGGGGAAGGACAGCTGCTTGCTCTGGGTTCTGCATTTGATGGCTTTGCTTGTGAGCAGCAGCCAACTCCAAAGCCACGGGACTGGGCTTCCAGCAGAATATTTGGGCACATCTCAACTCAGAAAAAAATGTATCAAAAAAAGAAGAATATATGCAAATTGCAAGCATTTAATTACAGGAAGGTTTATCCTTTCCCCAGCAATGACATAGTTTGCAAAGTCATCTTTTTTACCTTCCTGCTTGTTTTCCTCATGCTTACTTCTTGTCTATTGCTTTACACCCAGCACCACTCACAATTGCCCTGTGAGAGCTCTGGGTCTAGCCACAGCGTGCTGGAGGAAGCAGAATCCATGTTGTGCAGAGCAGTACAATTGTTGCTTTCTTTCAGATGCATGTGCCTTTTTTTTTTCTTTTAACAGCAATGTAAAACTTTTTTCCTCTGCACAGCATCTTTCTAACTCATTCCCATTTTCCATCTTTCCGCAAGATCTCCCAATTTCCAGCCTATGTGGTGAAGAAGTCAATATTCCTAGATTCTCTCTTTGCTGTCCTCGTTTCCACTGCATGCTCAATTTGCTGCCGGGCGATGCAAAGAGGGAGATGAGCTGCACTCGTTTGTCCCGAGGCTCAGCGTGTGTGTGTGCGTGTGTGCAAGCTGATGTCATGCGTGCCAGGCTTTTGTTCTCGGAGTACCAAAGTCCTCTCTGAACTCCAACCTCCTGTGCGATAATTTAACAGGACAGTGCGGTGACGGGAGCAGTAAATCCTATATGTGACGGAGGAAATAATGTATTGACCCGCTGAGGGATTTACATAGCTCCGCGGACGGACTGCAAGCTCAGCCTGTGAGCCTGACTTGTTCTACTCTCCATTTCCAGCAGATACTAGCCAGTGTTTCCAGATGAATGGTTGTTAGAAATGTACGTGGATTTGAGAACTGTCTTAGTTGGGTATGCACTTGTGCCCAGGATGCTAGTAATCACCACTTAGTATCTCACCTTTTCATAAAACCAAGGGATTTTGCTGATCTGCTTGCTTTAAATACCCAGTCCTTGCGGCCATTCTGCTAAAAAGCATTATTATGTGTTTCCCAAAGGCACATGGAGAAAGAGGAAGTTAGATTATTTTTTTTGTCATCCCTCTGATCTTTCATTAGTAAGTGTTTAATTTACGGTAGCATCTCATGTTGCAAATACTTCCCTGCGTCTCTTTGTCTGCGAGCTCTCGGGGGTCAAAGGAGGCCCGTGGAAGAATTTCAGCAGCGCCGTCCCTGGAGGACAGCGGGGCCGAGGTCCCTCTGCTCCCCTTCTGCAAATGCGACATCATGTCTCCAGGGCAACCTGGATTCTGACAGTCATGGGAGCAAGGACATGGCATGGATTTCCATTTGATTCCTGCAACAGCAAAGAGATCTGAGACAAAATCAATGTGCCACTAAACTATGAGAGTTCATTTTCCCAATTAATTTTATCTAAGGGATCATTTCCTCTGTTCTTGCGTAAATGTGTTTCACTACTACTAACTGTATTTGTTTTTCTGGTGTCACCTTTTCACCTAAACATCTGAGATTGGCTGTAACAGAAAAATTTGTGGGGTGCCTACCATAGAACTGAACAAACATTTTATAAAGGCCGCTAAGAGCAATGTTTGCATTTCAACATGTGTAACTTCACTTTTTCTCATGTGATGTAATGTTTTGGACAGTGATTCATAGTTTTGGTCAGATGTTTCAGTTTAAAGTGATTTTATCAATGGCAGCTAAGGAAAGCCATACCTATCTGATGTAAGTATCTTTGCCTTTCTCTTTGAAGCACTGAGCTCTGTCCTAAAGGAATATCCAAGTGCATGTCACTGCTAAAGCAAAACGTATCTGTACTATTTTGGTTTTCTTTGTTTGAAAGCTGTGAGCTTGATTTTCCTGCACAAGAATGAATCACAGAAAAATCAGTTATAAAAATAAAATTGTGACAGGTGGCTCAGACCTCTTTAGTATGTCTTAATCAGTCCTTTTAATACGTGCTTCATAAAATTGGTATTTAAATAAGACAGGGTTATGCAGAGAATTTTATTCTGGATCTCTGCTTTCTGTTTTATATCATTGCCTTAAGAAAGCTTTCAGAACATGAAAGGTGAGCAGAGCACAGAGTGAGTTAGAGAGGCTCCTCTAGGTATGTGGACGTTTCCTGCCATATTTGATGCTTA